CTAAAAAAAATGAAAGATTAAAGATTTGATCAATGGTTCATTAATGGTTCTATAGAGTGGGGGAGCAAGGATTAGTTTTTATGGGGGCCAATGATATTGTTATAATAAAACCAAGTGGTAGTGGGCTAGTGGTTTCCACTTAAAGAAAAAATTGCGTTTATGCCAAGGTTCAATTCCCCTCAAGCGCAAAATTACCTAACCACTTCTATTTGGTTAGTCGAAGTGGTGCCACGCTTTCGATCCATTAGAAAATCTGATGAGTGGACTACTCGACGGCTACACTCATCCTGGGGGATTAGTCGGATGGTAAAAGCCCGGATACCCTCTGGTTTACAAAAAAAAAATTATTATAATGTTTAAAAAAAATTATTATAATTATTTAAAAATAAATGTAAATATTTAAAAATTAAAAAAAAACAAAACTAAACTAAAAATAGTGTCATTATTTTTGTAAACCTTCTAAATTGTAGCTATTTTAATTAAAATATATGTAGTCTGAAAAGTACTCAATTATTTGTGTAAATACACAAGTAATTCTCATGTTGTTCATCATCATTTTAAGTTCTTACTAAAATATTGGTGAGGAAATTGTATGACGTAATTTTCTTCAAAAAGTTTATTTATCTAAATGCATGGACTATAGTGTTGTATTGTTAACTGTTGTCTTTATCTATTTTTTTTTTTAGATGAAAGACGAATAAACAATTGATAAGAAACTAAATCAACAGTTGCATTAGTCATAATAGGACAGAAAAGAAGAATTAAATTAGTATATACGAAGCTCAAATCATTCAAAAAAAAAACAAAAGAGAACGAGTGATTAAATGAAATACTAAATTAACAACAAAGAGGTGCAAAGAGAAGTTTTGAGCTTGGGACAAGGGGGTCAAATTACTATATTTTAAACCAAATCATCCAGAATATACAAATTATGTAAGCTTGTAAACCAATTTTCTTAAAAGTTATGGGGTCAACTGACCTCCCTCCTTAAACACTAGCTTTGCCAC